AAATAATGTATTTTTTTTATTTTTATTTTTCGAGACAGAGTTTCTCCGTATCTTTTTGGTTCCTGTCCTGGAACTAGCTCTTGTAGACCAGGCTGGCCTCGAACTCACAGAGATCCGCCTGCCTCTGCCTCCCGAGTGCTGGGATTAAAGGCATGTGCCACCACCGCCCGGCTTGAAATAATATTTTTTATTGTCTCAGTTGTCAGCACAAATGCAGAGTCCCAAGCAGGCCACCGTCATGAGTTATGCTGAGATGAAATACATCCTTGGGGTAGTCAGGACAAGGCCAGGCATTGTAGCAGAGAGACTTAAAGATGCTTCACCCTAAACAAGGAGGCTTACATCTTCCTTGTGTGAAGGAGGATTCTTGCCACTCAGCCCCTTCTAGCCATTCAAGGGGAGGTTCCCTCTAGGCTGTTGCTTCCTCCACTCTCTAGAGATGTCTCCACAGCTGATCCAGGGTGCTGCTGTGCTGAAACAGCTGCCCGAGAAAAGAACCAAGCAGGAAGGTGCCGAAACCTGGGAATGGTATGCATATGTTAGCAGTGGGGTATAAACAAGTTACCAAGAAGAAATAATAGAATTTGGTATACAGTTCTAGCCTCACCTCACACCTTTGTCTTAATATTTCCATCAAAATCTACATATTTAATAACTGCTGTGGTGATACAATATTCAATATTCTGGGTCAAGGAAGATGATGGACATGGTATTTTCACAATACATCTAAGAATGGGACATGTCACAGTTGAATTCATTCCCACGTGTGTTTTGGAGCATCTACCAGATATGCTCTGGGATACAGGGATGAAGCAGGATACAGGGATGAAGCATCTACCATAAATGCTCTGGGATACAGGGATGGAGTGGGATACAGGGATGAAGCATCTACCAGATACCGTCTGGGACACAGGGATGGAGCATCTACTTGATATACTCCAGGATACAGGGATGGAGCTAGGGATGAGGGATGCAGGCCTGGGCAGTGGGATTCAGGTCAGATTCTAAAGACTCAGCTCCCTGGTCCTCCTACCATGAAAAAGACAAGCCATTAGTTATCTGTCCTGTGAATGTTTTTCTTCCACGAATCTTCATATTTCTAACCTGTGAGAAAATGTTGTAACGCAGGGGCTGGGGTGTGATTTGGTGGTAGAGCATGTGTGACATGCTTAGCACAGTCAAGGCTCAGGGTTCAATCTCCAGTGCTGGAATACAGAAAAAAAAGAAAAGGAAGTTGTAACGAATACCATTAGATAGCACAGCGTCATTAAACAGATGCCCCGAGAACACGGAACATCTCAGCTAACACATTCAGCAGTGAAAATCCATTTCTAAAATTGGCAGCCATGTGTTTTCAGCGCCTCAGAAGTCACCAACCTGAAAGAATGGTCCAGAACAGGAGATTTGAATCGCATTGATGGATAGCCTTTGTTGATGTGAATTCATGTTGACAGCCGTGTTGTTGGCCTGGACATTTTATTTCCTAGTTTATAAAACATTTATGTGCTCAGCCTCAGGCAGAATAAATTGCGCTCTGTGTTTATGAGACCTAGTCCCCTGCAGCTATCCTAGGGGCTCTATTAGACTCTACTGCATGTCTAGATTAGCAGACTCTAATTTTAAAACATTATTTTTAAAAGATGGAATTTTTTCAGCTCTCTACTTTTGAGAGAGGTAAATCGATTTTGGCATTAGTTTTAAAAATATTTCCAAAGTTAATTGGGCTTTCAGACAGTGGAGTTTGCCATTAGAACCGTTTATCTGCTGCTTTCATGTGAATTTGCATGCAGTTTGCTTGCCAATGGCCCTATCTGCCCACGTCTCTTCAGTTGGAAAATGTGGACACACTCGTGGGCCATCTCACTATTCAGAGAAAAGGTGTGTGCATTCACAGGTCGTTTAGTGATGCAGAGGAAAAAGTGTGCTACTCATAGGTCCTATCATTATCCAGGGAATTGTGTATTAGTGATGGAATAGGTACAGTGTGCTTGTCCTTACCTTATATACTCTGTGACAGAAGCAGATAATCTCGCATCTCACGAGCTTTTCTTAGCATTCATTACCACCTAGCATTAAGTGAGATATTTTATGTGCAACATGCATAATGGTCTGTAGAGGGTTGTAGAGATAGGCATTGCTATCTTATTCAGTTAATGATTCCCTAAAGAGACATGTTTCCAGAGGTCGGGAACAGTGAGGATTAGGCAGGTCTCCCAAGCGGACATATAAAAGGGTGGAGATGGGAAAGGAGGAGCGTGCTGTATGCTGGGCAAAGGACGATGGCCGACTCTGTGTGCCTAGAACATGGTGTCAGAAGGAAGGAGGTCTCTGTGAGGGGCCCTAAAGAACAGGGACAGCTGTGCACACCCCCTTCCAGAAGATGGTGATGTGAACAGGCTGTGAGGGGTGAGTGAGGAGAAGGGCAGGGTGGACTGAGTAAGGGTCCTGGGGCCATGCAGGCCAGGCTGTCTAAGGTCAGAATCCAGGGAGTGGCTGTGTGAGGATGGCGGAGAGATGAGGAAACAGTAGGTGGGAGAATCTACAGGACTTGACAAGGGTCAGGGTAGGGAAGGAAGAAAACCAGGACAGCTTCCTGCCTACCACGTGACCCAGAAGCAGCAGGGTGTGAGGCATGACGGCAGAGGGCAATGCCAAACCCCAGAGTATCGTATTCGGCAGAGGTTGGGTACTCAGTGACCTCCGCTGTGTCGCTGGGTACCCATGGTCAAGTCGGAATGAAACTAATCTTTATAAAGACTTGTTTTCCCTTCATTGTTGTTTATTTTTGGTTTCTGCCTTCATGTGTGCCTATGCACTGTGGAGCCAGAAGAGGGCATTGGACGCCCTGGGACTAGAGTTAGAGATGATTGCGAGCTGCCACATGGGTGCTGGAAATCAAGCCCATGTCTTCTGGAAGAGCAGCTTCTGAGTCATCTGTCTGGCACAGAAACTGAAACTGTAAAATTGCTGAGCCCCAGAACCTGTTGTGGGAGGCGGCAGAGGCCATGACACACCCGGGTTGGATGTGCTGACGCTTGACCACTCTGGAGTGTTCTAACCACTGCTTCTCTATGTTGTCCCTTTAGGAAGCCATATCACCCTAAACTAGAAGCTTTCGTTACTCACATGTCGAAAGGACCAGGAGCCTCTTTTGAAAGCCCCTTAAATTCCCTGCCTCTTTACCCTAACCATCCTCTTTGTGAGATGGGAGAGCTCACACAGACAGGTATGTACGACCGCCTGATCACGTCCCTCCCACATGCGCCTCGGTTCCTGTGCATTCGGGGTGACATAAGGTCTGTGGGACACCGAGAGGCCGTACACGTTACCAGTTAGCTGTGTGGGGTCCTGGCAATGATCAAATAGAAATTGGGAGTAGGTGGGAAGCTTTCTCTGGACTGGTAGTCCTGGGCCTTAAATGCCCAGAGCCCAGGGCCTGGTATGGCAAACACAGATGTTTTTATCCCAAAGCCTGAAAAACTATGAACTTAACTGCTCTGGGCTTGATCCCCAGCAGCCCCAACACTTGACAGGCACTGGAGTCCTCGGCTTCCAGCTGTAGTGATCGGCAGCAGCAAAGCCAGCAGACAATGCATTGCTGCTGCAAATGATGCATCAACCACTTGGGGTGCTAGGACTCCCGCCCTACAGAGACCGTGTTACAGCGGTCACACCTAGGGTGTCTGAAATCCCCAGACCCTTAAGCCCTAGCAGCTCCCTGAAACTTTCCAGCAACCTTGGCCCCCAGTTTCTAGCCCGTGACCCTTAACAGTCTGTGTCTTCCTCTCTCCACCCTCTCCACCTGCTCTCGGTTCCTCAGCTGTGCCCCCACTGCAATTGCCACAGCATGGGGGCTGTGCTGCCGCCTTGGCCAGTGCCACTGCTCCTTCTGCAGCGATAAAGAGTGAGCGCAGACAGAGGAAGACCGTTCAGAGGCCTTTGATTGGTGCCCAGTGCAGCAGCACAAGGGGGCCTTGCGGGAGGTGCCTCCCAGCTGGCTAGAAAATCAAGCTACAGCCAGCAAAGGGATCTGGCAAACATGTTCACACACACACACACACACACACACACACACACACACACGAAGGAATATTTGCACCAGTTACAGGCCTTCCAAGGCCGGAGCAGGCTGCCCTCAGCTGTGTTTGTAGGGGTCCCCTGAAGCTGCTCAAATGTCCTCAGGGCGACTGAAGTGTCCAAAGCAGGCCAGACTGCCATAAGGGTCATCTGGCCAGTCACCAGGAAGGGGGTGCGTGGCTGGCAGTACCCTGCTCCAGGCTGGCAGGCGGAGGACGAGCCTATCAGACAGCCTGCCCCTAGATTTTAGTCATTCACAGAGGACATTAAAAGAATGTTTGGAATAAACTTAATAAAGACTCAACAAAAGCACAGCACGGAACTAAACGATTTTAATAGCATCTGATGGTGTTTAACATTGCACAATAGTGCTTACACTCCTGCCTCAGTGCCCTAGACTCTCCCTAGGTTGGTTCTCTGATCTGACTCATATGGACGGGTACCTCAAGGAACTCAGAGGCCCCAGGGTATCTAATGAAACATCTGCTTTCTTAAAATTGAAAACAACTTGACAGGCTAGATGGCTGTCATGGGTAATCCCTGGGTCCCGTGGGGTGGAAGGAGAGAACCAGCTCCTGCCGTCCTCTGACCTCCATGTGCACACATGTGCACACCAACTAAAAGGGGAAAGTAGCCTTTCTTGTTACAGAAGCATCACTGCTCATGAACTTGGTGGTTACGAGCACTGACTGCTCTTGCAGAGGACCCAGGTTCAGTTTGGTTTCCAGCGCCCGTACGTAGACTCACAACCATCTATGACTCCAGTTCCAGGGCATCTGACACCTTCTTCTGACTTCCTTGGACATCGGGCACACAGCTGGTGCACATACATACATGTAGGCAAATACATACATAAAAAGAATTTTTTGAAAAAATGATTAAAAAAGAAACAGACCCCTAATGCTAACCTTTCTTCCTGCGCACATGCAGTGGCGTCTTAGTGAACTTGCCCTTCCCTATCCCATCTTACTATGTAGGAATATATCGGGAGGTAGACAAGATGGCTCACCGGGTAAAGGTGCCTGCCTCATTTGGGGATGGAACTCTCCAGACCATTTGGACACCTGGACATAAATGACGTAACTGGTCACACTGCCCTTGTGTAGTTCATGTCCTCAGATGTCCCACCCATTACTGCAGTGGCGTCCCTCACCTTCTGCAGGCCTGGGGGCAAGCCTGCTGATTTCTCTCTCCCCTGCTTGCAGATAAAGCTTTCTCATTTCTTTACAAAGTTCATTCCTTGCCGTCCTCCAGTGGTCCAAAGCCAAGACAGTGTTGAAGGGAACCGGAAGTCTTGTTTCCACCCACTTCCTGCCCATCTCACTTCTCTGCCCTCCTTCTCCAGACGCAGTCCCCACTGGCTTGTCGTGCATCCGGCAGAAGCTTCTTTATGCAAAATGCAGGAGACTGTGAACACGCACTCGTGCTCTTCCTTCTTTCTCATTTAAAAGGAGCATAATAAATGCACCGTTTTTCATTTGCTCCTTAAATACCGTCTGGATATCTGGAATTGTGGAGTATGAGCTGGTTGGCTGAGCCTGGAAAGGCCCTGCAAGGCCAGACAGAATGCCCCAGAGGTTAACAGAGGGCCTTCGGTTGGGCATTATAATGGAAATAGGGTCAAGGAGGGAGTGTCCCAACAGTAAGTAGACTGGTAGACAGATTTCTCTGTAGCCTTCCCTGCCTGGGGACTGCTGTGTCCCTGGGCAGTGTGCATACACCTGCCCTCGGGTATATGCAAATTAGAGCCAGTGGGTAGGGAGGCTGTGACAAAGGCAGGGATCCACACCCCATCCCTCTGGAAACCCTTCTCATAACTTCTGCTTCTGTTAACTTCTGCTGCTGTTAAACACACCAGAGAAGGGTGCTGGCCCTTCGTGGCCCTTTTGTTAAACTTTAGTAAGAAGGATTCTGTGTCCTCTGGTGTTGCAGGAGTTGTGCAGCATCTGCAGAATGGCCAGTTGCTGAGGGACATCTATCTGAGGAAACACAAACTTCTGCCGAACAACTGGTCCTCAGAGCATCTTTACCTGGAGACCACTGGGAAGAGCCGCACCCTGCAGAGTGGGCTGGCCTTACTCTACGGCTTCCTCCCAGATTTTGACTGGAAGAAAATTTATTTCAAGCACCAGCCAAGTGCCCTGTTCTGTTCTGGAAGCTGCTACTGCCCACTGAGAAACCAGTATCTAGAGAAGGAGCAGCGACGGCAGTACCTCCTACGCCTGAAGAACAACGACCTGGAGCGGACCTACGGGGAGATGGCCAAGATCGTGGACATCCCCACCAAGCAGCTGCGGGCGGCCAACCCCATCGACTCCATGCTCTGCCACTTTTGCCACAACGTCAGCTTCCCCTGCAGCAGAGGTGGCTGCCTGGGCATGGAGCACTTCAAGGTGATCAAGACGCACCAGATAGAGGATGAGCGTGAGAGGCACGAAAAGCCCCTGTACTTTGGGTATTCGCTCCTCGGGGCCCACCCCATCCTGAACCAGACGGTCAACCGGATGCAGCGAGCCGCCGCAGGCTGGACCCACGAGCTGTTCACCCTCTATTCTGCTCATGATGTCACTCTGTCACCGGTCCTCAGTGCCTTGGGGCTTTTGGAAGCCAGGTTCCCAAGGTTCGCCGCCAGGCTGATCTTTGAGCTCTGGCAAGACCGTCAAAAGCCCAGTGAACATTCCGTCCGGATTCTTTATAATGGGGCTGACGTCACCTTCCACACCTCTTTCTGCCATGACTTCCACAAGCGTTCTCCCAAGCCCATGTGTCCTCTTGAGAACTTGGTTCGCTTTGTCAAAAGGGATATGTTCGTCGCCCTGGACGGCAGTAGTACTAATTATCATGATGCATGTCATGGGCAAGGGGCCTAAAGTATTTAGCCCAGCTTTGTTCTCTTGCTGGTTCCGTCTGTTGCTAAATCATGGTTGGAGATCTAATGGATGCAGATTAGGTTGGGTGATCATGCCTGTGGTTTCGGACAAACAGGAAGCACATAACAGTATGTCCCTATGGTACGAAATTGCCGGTTCACAGAGGGAAAAGGGTCCACTATCATAGCTGTGTGTGGTCTAGAACGCTAGCATCAGGTTCAGTGCTCAAAGCTGCCAATCCAAGCTGATACATGCTTGGGCCTGCCGTGGAACCAGCAAACCTCTGCCAAAATCTTCTTGTTCTTGAACACTTACCTTAACCTTGTTGAGCGGAAAATGTTCCCAAAGTTATGAGTTCAAAGTGGGGTGACAGCCTTTTTATGAAGGAACTGGAAGGTTGGTATCTTAGATTCTGTAGACCTAAAGGTCGCACGGGGGCGTTGCCACATCTCAGCTGTGCTCTGGGGACACGACGACACATAAATGGGTGTGTGTGTGTGTGTGTGACTGTGTTTGTGTTCCACGGACCAAACAGAATAGGTGGCAGCCAGCTGTGGCTCACGGACTGTGTTTGCTGACCCCTGATCTATACAAAACAAAACAAAACCCAGGCTGTTACAGTTGCACTTCCTGCACTTTGGGAACCAGCTGAATGCCAAGTTGTTTAGCAGGTCCTTTAGTAGCTTCTGCTAGAAACACAGAATTGGGTCTCTATCTGACGTGGTGACAAAGTCAAGGGGAAATAAACGTTGGGGTCAGAGGGCTCATAGGAAATGATACAATACTTGATGCTCATGGTGATTGTGGCACAACATAGCTTTAAGTGTGTTCCAGATCTTGTCTGCGATAGTCTGTTGGCTTCATATGCTGGAATTTTTGTATTCCATTTAGTATTTTTATAGTCTAGGAGAATATTTTCTGAGACCAGTTTTAGATGTGTTCTTATCCCTGTTTCGATTTGCTGCACCTGCTTAGTGGTTGGAAGGAGGCCAAAAGCCGAATTGGGGCACTTTTTTCCCCCTTCCAAAAAATAAATCACTAATAACTCATTCCCTTTGACAAGCTGGAAAATTGGGTCCATTTTTGAACCATTTTCGTCAGTTTCGAATGCCAAATTCCAATTGATTTTTAAAGAGGTTTCTAGAAAAAAAAACAACTTTGTTACTCGATGTTGAATAATCTTTCTAAAATATTTTCTATAAAAGGCACAATCACAGCTCACTCCTTGATTTCTAGGACAGTGGTGCTAGTTTGATTCGAAGACCTGGCCCGTGCACGTGGGGTTCTCCGGCAGCTGGCATTCCAGCCCTTTCTCTTCCTTCTTGTCTGGTGTTGCATTTGAACATGTTTTGTTTGTAGAAATAAAGATTTTGAAGAATTCTTAGCCTACACAACTCATGTTGTGTATCTGAGTCGTTCAAGTTCTTTGCAAGGGAGAAACGGTGTTTTTAAAGTCAACTTTCACTTCTTTATTTAGTGCTGAAAATTCGGAGCTCGTATTTCCCCCCCTCTATCTCTTATTAAAGCCTATTCGGGTTTCTCTCACCCACTCGCAGATTGTCGGATTTAGAACGGTTAAACATAGCCCGAAGGTTTAAAAATAAAAGGGGGAATTTTAAAAAGACCAATTCATGGTATGTGTTGGTAAGAGTGTTTTGGGTAAGAGCTGACAGCAAAATGTATAGGTGAAGGTTTACCTTCTAAGACATTGGCAACACAGAGCACAGAGTTCTGAAGCCCCTCATTCCCCAGCAGATTAATTCTAATACAAAATATGACGCTAAATATATACAAGGGCATCCCAGACCTCGGCTTCTTGGAAGTGATCTCATAGCCTCACTCACGACAGGCCTGGAACTGGCCATGGATATGTTAGCTTCATATTTTTATTGTAAAATTAATAGATTCTGGAAAATAATCCTGAGCAACAACCTCCAAAGTGAAGGTGCCCTATCGGGAAGGAGTTGCAGCTTCAGCTTCAGCCTCAGTTTCTCCCACTGCGCTCTCTCCGCATACTTCAGACAGTTGGTGAGTGTAGACTTTCCCACCACACACCGGGAGCGGCCGATTCTGCAGCTGGACGCATTCTGGGTCTGTCCTGAGCTATGCGCCTTCGTGTCAGACCTCTCAGTACCCAAAACTCAGTTGAGTAACTCTACTCCAGTTGCTAGGATTTCCCTGTGCCTCTGACCAACTAGCCGAGGGCTTGGGTCTGCCCACTCATCCCTTGGGCTTAATTTGCTCGAGCCCTCACAGAGCTTCAGGGAAACAGCAGTTTATTACCAGGGATAGTGTAGAGGAAATGCATGCGGTGTGGAGAAACCACAGAGCTCCCTATACTGTCCTGCTGGACCACGTTCCATTAACTCCTGGATCCCCCTGCCCGAAATAACAACACACAAACTGTATTCATTTAAGAACTGCTTGGCCCATGAACTCTAGCCCTTACAGGCTAATTCTCGCACCTGGACTAGCCCATTTCTAATGATGTGTGTAAGCACCCCAAGGTGCGCTTACCGGGAAGATTCTAGCCTAAGTCCATCGTGGGTTGGAGCTGCCTGGGAGAGCAGAGCCTGGCGGCTGTCCGGTCCCTCTGGAAGCAGCGCAGAGTCTGACCTCACTTCCTCTTCCGCCCAGCATCCTATTCTGTTTATTCCACCCAGCTATGTTCTAAGCTATGAGGCCAAGCAGTTGGTTTATTATAATTAACCAATTACCTTCCTCCATCACCACATGGTGGGCCACAGTTCTGGTTCTGGGGATCGAACTTGTGACCTCCGTGGGCAGCAGGCACACAAATGGTGCACATACCTACTGGCAAAACACTAAAATTGATAAATCTAATAAATTTTAAAGAATATAAATGTTTTTAATTGCTTCTTTTAGCAACAACTTGGAAGTTTTTCTTTAACTTCTTCAACAATGCATGTCTTGGAGATATTTCTGTCTTGGGATGTGTAGCTAGAGACAGACAGCTTTTTATAGAATACAGATTAGACTAGTATATTTTATATAAAGAATATAAAATTAAATTTTATAGAACATAGACTCTCTTTAAGAATACATTTCATTTTATCTCTGTGTGTGATGTGTATGTGCACGTGTACATTTGTGTGACTACAGATTCAAGAGTGTCCTGACACAGACGTTTTTTAGCCTTTGAAAAAATGTTCTTACCTGAGAATTTCACGTAACACATTTTGATCCTATGCAGCCTGTCCTCCACCTCCTCCCAGATCTGTTCTCACCTCCCTACCCACCCAACTTCAACTTTGTGGGCCGTATTATGTGTGTGGTCCCCCTTCTCCCTGTCTCTGTCTCTCTGCCCCCTCTACTGCCTCTTCCCTCCCCTCCCTCCCTCTCCCTTCCAATTCCTCCCCAACTTCTCTCTTATAGCCTCACCGTATTGGCCAGGCTGGTTTCAAATTTGTAATCCTCCTGCCTCAATGTCAGTGCTTGTGAGCGGACATTACCACACACCGTGGGCTGAGCATTCTTTGTCAAGCTCCACTTTGAACAGAATTAAAGAACTTGCTTATAGGCTATTAGAGTTTGTTTGTTTTAGTGCCAGGAATTGAACTCAGTGTATGACCCATGCTAGGCCAGCACTCTACCACTGAGCTACACCCCCAATCTTGTTTCTCTTCTAAGAGAGGGTCTCGGTAAGTTGCCCGGACTGGCCTTGACCCCTCTCTTTGGTCCCCTATCAGGCCCTGATCCTATGGTCTTCCTGCCTTAGCCTCTTGAGTATAGGCATGTGCTAGTTGGCCTGGTGATAACAATTAGTCATAAGAAACGGCCTACAAGCCGGGCGATGGTGGCGCACGCCTTTAATCGAGACCAGCCTGGTCTACAGAGCTAGTTCCAGGACAGGTTCCAAAGCCACAGAGAAACCCCTGTCTCGAAAAACCAAAAAAAAAAAAAAAAAAGAAAAGAAACGGCCTACCAAGAAGATTACCAGACTGCTCCACCTATCTGAAGGTCTTTGTAGGCACAGCAGAGTTAGACTTGGAGATGATGTAGGTAAGTCCTTTTTCCAGAACTCAAGAACTATTGCAGGGAAGGTAGGGATACACGCTTCTCTGAATCCTCAGGAACTCCCCAGAGCAGGTTCAGCATGCTAGGCTGTGTGGGTTGTCCTAGTGTGTTAGATAGGGTGCAACAGTGGCTAGTGGGATGCTGGCCTGGATTGCCATTGCTTAGGACTAGTGACCTGGACATTAGGGCTGTTGCCTGTGTTAGTGCCCGCTCAGGAGCTAGCTCAGTAAGAGTCTGCCTGAGGAATCTGCTAAGTGCTTAGGTATGATCAGGCCCACCTGGCCACTGAAGCCGGCTGCCAGCCATTGTGGTATATTTGTGTCTTAATAAATATAGCTTGCCTGAAGATCGGGGGACAAAGCAGCCATACTAGTCAGCCATACAGGCCAGGCAGTGGTGGCACACGCCTTTAATCCCAGGATTCGGGAGACAGAGGCAGACTGATCTCTGTTAGTTCAAGGCCACCCTGGGCTACACAAGAGCGAATCTTTTAAAAAGAGAAACAGAACTCACACAAAGGTGATCCCAGCACTGAAAATTACATGCCTTTAATCCCAGCACTAGGGAGGTGGAGACAGGAGCCATATGGCTGGGCACAGAGAGAAATATAAGGGGGAAGAGACAGGAACGCAATGTGTGTGGGGTGTGGGGTATGGAGTCTTCAGGATTCGTGGAGACAGGATCTCGCTCATTTTCAGTCTGAGGTAGAGGTAAAAGCCAGTGACTGGCTGCTTTGTTTTTCGGATCTTCAGGTTGAACCCCAATATCTGTCTCTGAGTTTTTTATTATTTTATTATAGCCAGCCTTCAGCGGAGGATGCTCTTGAAGTCAGCTTCCAGTGTGTCAATTGAATGAGCCCTGCCTCCTACAGTCTCCAGGAGTCTTTGCAATCCTGGGTAAAACCCTGTTTTTCCAGGAGCGGGGGGAGTGCTTCTCTAAACAGAGCCTGTCCTGAGTCTATCACAGGTTGGCACAACATGTTTTGAGGGCACTGGCCTCAGTATACCCAGGAGAAGGTTGAGATGCCAAGGATAGGGTCTTTCCCTACGGTCTCCGTGGCAATTCTACCCCAAGTCTTCTCTGTTAAACTATGTCAGTAAATTAAAACAATGAGGTCACAACAGTTACAAATTGAAATTGAAATGGTTAGGGACTAGTCCAACCCTCCTAGTCCAGGTTTCTCTTAAAACCTCTTTACAGTCAGTGATACTACGCTCAGACACTAGGGGGCAGCATCTAATAAAGTTTTGATCTGCATAAAGAAAAAGATAGGTTAGCTTGTGTTTTAAATTGACCGACTATATA